TATTATTATTATTATTATTATTATTATTATTATTATTATTATTATTATTATTATTATTATTATTATTATTATTATTATTATTATTATTATTATTATTATTATTATTATTATTATTATTATTATTATTATTATTATTATTATTATTATTATTATTATTATTATTATTATTATTATTGTCATTAATATTGTATGGTTTATTTGTTTATTGTTAGTTAAAATAATTTGGTTATGAAATTGAGCGAAACGGCGATATTTTTGAGGGCAAAAAATCATAGAAGGGAATATATCAGAACAAAAGTATGAAAGACCTAAAATATTTGAATGAGTTCAGGAGTGTTAATAAAGTTTGGCAAAATTCATACCTCTATTGTTCATGTCGTACATTTTTCCAAACTATCAATAATATCATGCCAACTAATTAGTTAATCATCATATCATTATTAATATGTTTTAATTTATTTCCATATGAAAAGGAAAAAAAAAAAGAAAAAAAGAAAACCCAAGCCTGTCTGGTATCGTTAATTATTATTGTTGCTGATATTTAAATATTAAAAAAAAAAGAGGAAACAGAACTAATATTTGAATATGAAAAAAAGAAGTAAAATTAAACCAAAATATTGTTGGCAGGAAAAAAAGTTTATAAATTAATGAATGCTTATTTCTTGTTAAAATTCTAATTAAAAGAAAAAAAATGAAAACCTTTACAAAAATCAATAAATTATTTGTATTAAGAAATTAATAAATTATTTTTGTTAGAAAATTGAAAAATTATTTATGTTAAAAAATTGACAAATTATTTATATTAGCATGTAAAATATATTTATTGAAATAAACAAATTAAATTTAAAAATTTTTCACTTTTATTTATTTTGTTAAAAATTTGTCCCATTATTAAATGCATAAAATTATGCAGTACCTCCATTTCTTTCATATATTTAATACTATTAATATTTGCATTTAATCACTTTAAAATATTAATATATTTGAAAAATTCATTTATTATAACATGAATATATGCTATTTACACTTATTTATATAATAAAAACAAGTTTATTCGAAATAAATTTGACATATTCAAATCTCAAAGGAATTTATTTACACAGTATGAAATCGAAATAAATAAATATTCAATCAAATTCATTCGTTCATGCAAGACAACTTATCACATTTAAACTTTTCTTTTTACAATTCTAATTTTTGCTTTCATTAATGGTTGAAGTTAATTTGTGACAAATTTTCTGGTGTAATTATTAACTTTTCATGTTAAAAATTTACTAAAATTAACTCTTCATTTATTTTCACTTTTTAAATTTCGAATTAACTTATTTCAAGTATGATTTTTCAAAAATTTTTACAAATTTAGTTTTATTAATTCTTGTTCCATTTCCATATAATACTTTGCATTAAATTAATCTTTACAATCAATTTTTCCCTCAACTATCCGATGAAAAGCTTCACCTAAACTGTTAAACATTTCAGAATATATGCTGTCATTTTTTCGCCCTCTTCATCGATTTAATTTTTTGATTGCAAAAAAAAAAAGAATTTTGATAAAAATTAGTTTTTATGTGTTAAACATAATAGACTCTTTTTCAATCAAAATTAAATTATGCAAATCAAGGTTATTGAAAATCGATTTATGCAAATCGAGGTTATTGAAAATCGAATTATGCAAATTAACATTATTGAAAAATTTATCACCATTGATTGATCGTTGTGAGCTTTTTCTATTCTTTTTAAAAAGTTTTTGCCAGAATTTTTAAGATTTTTTAAAACTTTTTCAAATGTTTGATTAAATTTTCAAAGATAAATATTGTTGAATTTATTCTTGTTGGCATATGGAAAAAATATGTTAATATAGGATATGAAAAAAAAAAATCTTTGATAAGTAAAATTATCAGTACAGTGATCAGTCAATTATTGATGTTATAAGTTAACAACTATGTATTATTACATTGATTTGAATATCATCATAAATGTTCGTTTTTCTTCATTAGCTTGGATCCGGTATTTTGATGCTGATTCCGGAAAACATACCTTATTATAAATGGATAGATAATTTTACGATTTATCATTTTAATTATAACTTTTTAGATTTTATACCTCACTGAATTCCACATCCATCTATTTATCGGTTAATTAATATTTTGCTAATTTGAATATTATGGGGTTATGAAAAAGGTTTATTTCTCAAATATATATATAGGTATAAAATTTAATTAAGTGTTTCATATTATAATTAAAATAATTAATTTTAAAATTATCCATCTATTTACAAATAAGGTAAACTTCCCGTATATATGTATATATATAAATTTGTATTATACGAAAAAAAATTATTTTTCATAAATTTAAAAAAAAAAGCATTCCTTGCTATGAATAAATAAATATTAATTCTTATAAGAAAATTGTTAATCGATCATAGTTATAATAAATAATCAAAATATCAAATT